TGTAAATGTTTCTTAATGATCAGATCCAGGTCATATTATCTTTTGCAGTAAACCCACAGACAAGAAGCTGTGTTTTTCTCAGGGCACCACTTCAGAAAGCACACAATGTCAACTCATCGCAGAGCTAGTGAAGCTAACATGGTCACATTATAATTTCCTAGGTTTTCCCCTGTAAATTTGCATTGTTTGCTCTTTAATTGATCAGTATCTTGTGGGGACATACTGCAACCTTCAAACTAAGATCTTCTACTGGTCTCTGTTAATTAAAAAAAAATCAGCCACATGAATACTCTGGAGAAGGGAATCCCAGGCAATGTCCTACTACAAAGACTTTAAGCCATAAATGGGCTTCGCAAGTCTGAAGTACAAGAGATCAGTGTAACAAAACGCTATAGAAGAGAAGAACTTATCTCCAACTAGCATCAAAATGACAAGATCAAATTCACACATAATAAACTTAAATGAAAATGGGGTAAATGCCACAATCAAAAGACGAAGACTGGCAAATTGGATAAAAAGTCAAGACCCATCAGGGTGCTGTATTCAGGAAACCTATCTCATGTGCAAGGACACACATAGGCTAAAAATAAAGGGATGGAAGATTTATCAAGCAAATGGAGAGCAAAAAAAAGCAGGAGTTGCAATCCTAGTCTCTGATAAAAATGGGCTTTAAACCAACAAAGATCAAAAGAGACAAAGAAGGGCATTACAAAATGGTAAAAGGATCAATGCATTAAGGAGAGCTAACGATATTAAATATATACGTACTCAATATAGGAGCACCCAGGTACACAAAGCAAGTACTTAATGATCTACAAAGAAACTTAGACACCCACACAATAATAGTGAGAGACTTTAACACTCCACTGTCAGTATTAGACAAATCAACGGGACAGAAAATTAACAAGGATATCCAGGTCTTGAACTCAGATCTGGACCAAGCAGACCAAATAGACATCTACAGAAATCTCAACCACAAAATCACAGAATATACGTTCTTCTCAGCACCACATTGCACCTACTCTAAAACTGACTACATAATTGGAAGTAACTCACTCCTCAGCAAATGCAAAAGAACAGAAATCATAACAAGTCTCTCAGACCACAGGGCAATCAAATTAGAACTCAGAATTCAGAAACTAACTCAGAACCACACAGCTTCATGGAAACTGAACAACTGACTCCTGAATGTCGACTGGATAAACATGAAATGAAAGCAGAAATAAAGATGTTCTTTGAAACCAATGAGAAGAAAGACACAACGTACCAGAATCTCTGAGACACATTTAAAGCAGTGTCTAAAGGGAATTTATAGCAATAAATGCCCACCAGAGAAGCGAGGAAAGATCTAAAATTGACATCCTATCGTCAAAATTGAAAGAGCTAGTGGAACAAAATCAAAAACATCAAAAGCTAGAAGACAAGAAAATACTAAGATCAGAGCAGAACTGAAGGAGACAGAGACAAGAAAAATCCTTCAAAAAAAATCAATAAATCCAGGAGCTGGTTTTTTGAAAAGATCAACAAAATGGACAGACCGCTAGCCACATTAATAAAAAAGAAAAGGGAGAAGAATCAAATAGACGCAATAAAAAATGATAAAGGGGATATCACCACTGATTCCACACAAATACAAACTACAATCACAGATTACTATAAACAACTCTATGCACATAAACCAGTAAACCTGGAAGAAAGGGATACATTCCTGGACACTTGCACTCTCCCAAGCCTAAACCAAGAAGAAGTTGAAAACATTAATAGACCAATAACTAGGGCTGAAGTTGAGGAAGCAATTAATAGCCTAACAACCAAAAAAAGTCCAGGTCCAGACGGGTTCACAGCTGATTCTACCAGACCTCTAAAGAAGAGCTGGTACCATTCCTTCTGAAACTATTCCAAACAATACAAAAAAAGAGAGAATCTTTCCCAAATCATTTTATGAGACCAACATCATCCCGGTATCAAAACCCAGAAGAGACTTAACAAAAAAAGAAACCTTCAGGCCAATATCCATGACAAACATAGATGCAAAAATCTTCAGTAAAATACTGGCAAAAGGATTACAACAGCACATCAAAGAGCTTATCCAACACGATCAAGTAGGCTTTATTCCGGGGATGCAAGGCTGGTTCAACATACGCAAGTTTATAAATGTAATCCACCACATAAATAGAACCAAAGACAAAAACCACCTGATTATCTCAATTGATGCAGAGAAGGCCTTCAACAAAATTCAACAGCCCTTTATGCTAAAAACTCTCAATAAACTAGGTATCGAAGGAACATGTCTCAAAAGCTATTTATGACAAATCTACAGCCAATTTCATACTGAATGGGCAAAAACTGGAAGCACACTCCCTTTGAAATCCAGCACTAGACAAGGATGCCCTCACCTCTCCTATTCAATATAGTATTAGAAGCTCTAGCCAGAGCATTCAGGCAAGAAAAAGAAATAAAGGGTATTCAGTTAGGAAAGGAGGAATTCAAACTGTCTCTATTTGCAGACAACATGACTGTATATTTGGAAGACCCTATCAACTCAGCCCAATATCCTTAAACTGATAAGCAAATTCAGCAAACCCTCAGGATACAAAATCAATGTGCAAAAATCACAAGCATTTCTATATACTAGTAACAGACTAACAGAGAGCCAAATCATGAGCAAACTCCCGTTCACAATTGCTACAAAGAGAATAAAATACCTAGGAATACAACTAACAAAGAATTGTAAAGGACCTCTTCAAGGAGAACTACAAACCACTACTCAACAAAGTAAGAGAGGACACTAACAGATGGAGAAACATTCCATGCTCATGGTTAGGAAGAATCAGTATCGTGAAAATGGCCATATTGCCCAAAGTAATTTATAGTTTCAACACTATCCCCATCAAGCTACCTATGACCCTTCTCTTCACAGAACTGGAAAAAACCACTTCTCATATGGAACCAAAAGAGAATCCGCATAGCCAAGACAATCCTAAGCAAAAAGAACAAAGCCGGAGGCATCACGCTTCTTGATTTCAAACTACACTACAAGGCTACACAGTAATCAAAACAGCATGGTACTGGTACCAAAACAGAGATAGAGACTAATGAAACAGAACAGAGGCCCTAGAGGCAACACCACACATCTACAACCATCTGATCTTTGACAAATCTGACAAAAACAAGCAATGGGGAAAGGATTCCCTGTTTAATAAATGGTGTTGGGAAAACAGGCTAGCAGTGGGCAGAAAGCAGAAACTGGACCCCTTTCTGACACCTTATACTAAAATTAACTCCAGGTGGATTAAATTAAAGCTTAAACATAAGACCTAACACCATAAAAACCCTAGAAGAAAACCTAGACAAAACCATTCAGGACACAGGCCTAGGCAAAGACTTCATGACCAAAACAACAAAAGCAATGGCAACAAAAGCCAAAATAAACAAATGGGACCTAATTAAACTCCAGAGCCTCTGTACAGCCAAAGAAACAATTAGAATGAAACGGCAACCAACAGAATGGAAAAAAAATTTTGCAATCTATCCATCTGACAAAAAGGGCTAATAACCAGAATCTACACAGAACTAAAACAGATTTACATGAAAAAAACAAGCAAATCCATCCAAAAGTGGGTGAAGGAGATGAACACATACTTTTCAAAAGAAGACATATATGAGGCCAACAAGCATATGAAAAAATGCTCATCATCACTGATTATTAGAGAAATGCAAATCAAAACCACATTGAGATACCACCTCACGCCAGATAGACTGGTGATCATTAAAACATCTGAAGACAACAGATGCTGGAAAGGATGTGGAGAAACAGCAACACTTTTACACTGTCGGTGGGAGCGTAAACTAGTTCAACCATTGTGGAAGACAGTGTGGCACTTCCTCAAGAACCCAGAAATAGAAATACCATTTGACCCAGCAACCCCATTTCTGGGTATATATCCAAAGAATTATAAATCATTCTATTATAGAGACACATGCACACGTATGTTCACTGCAGCACTGTTTACAACAGCAATGACCTGGAACCAACCCAAATGCCCATGGACGATAGACTGGACAAGGTAAATGTGGCACATATACACCATGGAATACTATGCAGCCATAAAAAATGATGAGTTTGTGTCCTTTGTAGGAACATGGATGAATCTGGAAACCATAATTCTCAGCAAACTGACACATGAACAGAAAATCAAAAACCACATTTTCTCACTCATAGGCGGGTGTCGAAAACGAGAACACAGGGACACAGGGAGGGGAGCATCACACACTGGGGTCTGTTGGGGGGGGGGCGGCCAAGGGAGGGACAGTGGTGGGATGGGGAGGTAGGGGAGGGTAACATGGGGAAAAATAAAATGCCAGATGTAGGTGACGGGGTAGATGGAGGCAGCAAACCACCTTGCCACATGTGTATCTATGTAGCAATCCTGCATGATCTGCACATGTACCCCAGAACCTAAAGTACAATAAAAAAAAAAAAAATTTTTTTTTAATAAAAAAAAGAGGAACTTATCTTACAGATATTTATATGTATCTCCCCTAACAGATGCTAAGTTTTCTGCAAGAATGGACATTAGTCATTTTTATATCTCAAATTGATTGATTCATTCATCATTCATGGTATGCATCAGATACTCTGCAAGGCACTACAGATGTAAAAAGTAACAGTAACAAAGACAAAGCTCACAACCTAATAGGAAAACAGACACCTGTCACTGCAATGTAATAGGAAAATACAATGTAGCAGAAGCACAAAGTTAAGTGGAGTACTCCACATTCAGAAGATAGATTGTCATATCTTTTAACTGTCACATTTTTGAAAGTTTAGTTTACATTAAGTGTATTCAGTTTTTCAATTCCTATGCCCTCTTGAGTGTACTGCAATCTCATTCCTATTACTAATGCTAAAATAGAACATTTTTAGGTCTTTGTTGGAGCCACTGTAACAAAATATCTTAGACTGATGAATTTGTAAACAACAGAAATTTATTACTCACAGTTCTGGAGGCTCAGAAGGCCAAGGTCAAAGTGCCAGCAGATGTGGTGTCTGTTAAAAGCTCTCTTTGTGTTTCACAGATAGTGCCTTCTAGCTGTGTCTTCACATAGTTTCCTTGAGCCTGTTTTGTAAGGGCACCAATCCCATCCACAAGGGTTCCATTCTTGAGACCTAATTTCCTGAAGTTCTTCTCTTAATACTACCACACTGGGGATTAGGTTTCAACATATGAATTTTGAGGGGACAGAAACGTTCAGACCATAGCAGTCATCAATGACCTTGACAAACCCAAAGGATGTTTTTCAGTACTAATCTTACTTTAGGTGTCTGCCTTTAATGAAATTCTCATCTCTTGGCTTCTATAATACCACACTTTTTTTTTTCTTTTTCTCTCTAGCCTCTCAGGCAGTTTCTCAGTCTCAATCATTGACTCTTCTTCCATCTGCTTTAAAAGCTGAAGTTTCAGCCTTCTTATGTTAGATACATATGAGATAATGTATTCCATTTTCCATGCTGAATGACTCCTAAACTAAATCTTCTAACCTAAATATCTGAGTTCCTACTGCCTACTGGGCATTTCTATTTGGCTTCCACATAGATATCTCAAAATTAACATGTTTTACCTTCACAAACTTCTCCCCTTAAATTTCTACCACAGTAAATGACAGGGCTTTCTAAATCACAGAAGTTAAAAATATGCCATCCTAAAAAAAAAAAAAAAAAGTCATCCTATACTCTTGCATCTCACTCACTCCCTACATACAAATTAGTCTCTCGAGTCCTACAAATTCTATTTTTAATCTGTTAATTCCATACCACCTAGACTGTTTAATCCCTGATTTCTTTTATAGATCACTGTCAGAACCTTTCGGCCAATTTCTCTGTATACAATTAGTTTCAATCCATCTTCTACAATAATGCCAAAGGGTTCAATGAAAAGAGAAATTCTACTCACTCTGCCAACCTAATCAACCAGTAGCTATCCACTGCCTTCAAAAAAGAAACTATTTACCAAGTCACAAAAGTATCTTGATTTTGTACCACACCAATATCTCTAGCTCTTTATGATGAGCCATACGTATTCTATGCCATATCCAATAATACACAATTGCATGTTACATTCTCTCAAAGTCTGTAAATGCCTTTCCGTAAGTCTGCAATATCCAATTCAACTCCTAAATTTACCAAGGTGTTGCTTCTCTAGTAAATTTCCTTTACCATCTCGTACCACAAAGTTGGATTAGGTACCTCTATCATATGGTATCTCAGTATCTTGTACACCTTCTGTCAAGGTTTTAACACATTACATCAATATTGTCTGTTTATCATCTGTGAACTCTCCAAAAACAAGTACTACTTTCAATTCTGTATCCCAATTGCTTAGAACAGTAGTTGGCTCATAAAACTCTGAAATTCATTATAGGAATGCATAAACTCATTTTCTTTATTATACCATATTAATCAGAGTCAGAGAGACATTTTGTTTCTGAAAAGGGGAAAACTCTGCTTTTTATACGGTGTTCAATGTACTTTTGAGTGCCTTAGTTGTGAAAATTCATTAACTCTGCTTTTCTTTGGTAAATGTTGTTTAAGGCAATGATTTTAAAACCAAGTAAAAAACATTAAAAGGCTAAGAGAGAATTAGGGAGGAGCAAAATCTGACTTGGCAATTATGCTATCTTCCTTCTTGGGTTTTTCTCATTAGAATAATTGGGAAAGCACCCATTGTTAATATAGTACAAAATAACGATACATTTTCCTAATACAGAATTTCAATTATCAATTATAATGATTTCCTTTTCAATTCTTATATACCATTTACAAATAAGATTTTATTTCCATTTAAAAAAAAAAGATAAAATTTACTTAAATCTGTAAGTAGTCGCAGGGAAAACTTAATGACTGCTTCCTCTATATTTTGTTCAGTATTAATTATATGCATTATTTCATGTAATCCCACAAAAATCCTATGTGTTGGTACTATTATTATCTACTCCTCTCTCTCTCTCTAGGAGATGAGAAAACTGGAGATTAAAGAGGTGAGGTAATCTGCCAGAGTTTCACTAGTCGAAGTGGTAAAGCTGTGACTAAAAGCCCTCTGATGTCAAAGCTGATACTTTTAACCACAGTACTCTATGCCTCCTGCTGTGCCTGTTCGGAAAGGACCCAAGAAAATTAATCCCTGGGAAAAAAGCTTTCAAATATATATACACAAATATCTTAGAATTAAATCTGCAAGGTCTTAAAATACCAATTACATAAAAAGAAAATACTGGTTGGTCCATTAACAAACTGTTATCTCCAAAAATAGTAAGAGTGTGCTCTCACAGGAGTCTTTCACTGGTTAATCATGATCTACTATCTTAAAGGCTGATTCTATTCTCAAGACTAATTTCCAAAGGACTAGTGTCCAGTGTGTGCCCAGTGAAATGCAAAAACACACTCAGCACCCACTTTATTAAAGAGTAATATGAATAGTGAACATACGTGTACCCTACCACTACTTGAAGTGAAAATAATAAAAATACAAGTAATTTTTTAAAAAACGGTGCTCTCATATATTAGCATTTTTTATTATAAGACAACATTCTGAAATCTGCAACTGCAAATCAGCAGTAAAAAATTACAAATGAAACTGAATATGGCACAGTTAACAACCTCTATCATATTCTTAAAACACAAACATCTTCAGACTTTTGGTAAGATCATATAAAGAAGTACAGTGCTACTTTTCTTCCCTCAACTGATGTGCTTTCAACTAAAGAAAATAATCAAAAAACAGCTTCCTCTTCATGTATTCTCTAAATCAAATGCCCTTAAAGAATCAAATATCTAAAAAAATGATAGCAATTCTTTTCTGAACAGGTCTGGATAAATATTTTAGGTTTTGCAGGCTATACGGTCTCAGCCAAAACTACTCAACTGTGTTGTTGTAGTGCACGGGCAACCACTGACAATATATAAACAACTGAATATGTCTGGGTTTCAATAAAATCACATTTATAAGAACAAATAACAAACTGGATTTGACACACAGGCAGTAGCATGCTGAACCCTGGTTCAAAAAGCTCTTCCAAGTCTGTACCTACCATTTTACCAGACTCATGAGATAGCAAAAAGCACACTATTTCACTACATTCTCCCTAAAAAAATTCCAAGAGATTATATGTATAATTAATATCAAAACTTGTAAAATGCTTCATAAAATATGATAAACAAATGATTACAATCCCTATCATTTTTAAAGAACGAATTCCTACAAGGTTCTTTACAATGGCATAACTTTATACTGACCAAAATGTAAAAGAAACATAATGTAATGCTCCTTTTCCATTACTTGTTTACTACTGTTTTTCAAAGTATTCTTTGCAACATTAGAAAAACCAAATTTACTTTAGGTTTTGAGAGGTGATTTTGAATATAACCATATTAAACTTGAATGGCTACAACAATTTTCAATTACTATTTAAGAGCAAATTACTACTATAGGTATATCAAGCACTTCAACAAATACAGAGATGCCTATTTTCCACTCTGAAACTAATACTTGATACAAGAGAAGGTAATGGGGGAAAATACTGATATTAGAAGTATCTGCAAATGCCTGAGGTGGATTAGAGCCAAGGGAAGGGAAAAGTATAAAAATGCATTCTCACATCCTGCTATTTAGCTGTTTTATAGATGACTGGGTGTATGGGTAGAGGAGAAGTAGTAGGTATAAATAGGTCTCAGTTTACAAGCAAAATTACTAAAAAGAGGAATCTATAATTGTCATAACTACGTAAAATTCACAGCTGCTCTCTTCAAAGATAGATAGGAAAAATTCCATTTAACTTCCACTTCCCTTTTCTTATTTCAAAACAAACTAAAAACTTTGTGAATGAATGCACACCTTCAGACCACAGGGTAGTGTTTAATAATAAATATCATCATAATAGTGTTGTATTACACTTAATAAATGTAGCTGTTAAGGTACCAGAAAATATTTCCAAAGGAATTTTCTCACTTAAAGTTCAAAAGCTTTTCTTTTCTCCATTCAACAGCTTACAAGAAACAATAACAAATAAATAAACCCAAAGTGGCTCTTTAAACACGTCAGATATTCTGAAGAACAAGGTGTTAAGAGTAACAAGTAATAAGAATATAAATATGCTCAGAATTTTTGTCTTTTTTCAAATCATTATTTCAAGGGAAATTTCTCATACCTAAGTGTTTTTCTACAGATAATATATTTAATAATCTCATACAATTATTAAAAAAAGCACATTTAATAATCTCTCAACATACTTGGGAAGTGTCCTTGGTTTAAAGTTAAAACTGTTGTATGACATTTTGCAAAATGTCAAACTGTGTATTTGATATATGTTGAAAATTATACTTATTCATGATGTTCAACCATATTATAATTGTGACTGTGCTACAACATATTGTTTAGAAACTTCCTGAATTTGGATAAAATCCAAATTTAACTAAACTCTTCTGTTACAGTAAGTGAAACCACCTGAATTTACAGTTTCATATTAAAAGAAAAAACCAAGGTTTTATTTCAAGTTAACCTATAAGCAATATTACTCAATTCCACATATGAATATAAATAATAGTTTTTAAATTACTTACAGTAAATATCCGTCTGCCAGTTCGATCAAAAGTTACACAATATACAGAGGACAAGTGTCCAAGAATTCGTTTATGCATTTTCATGTGCTGATACACGGCAGTTGGAACAAGTCGCTCAAGTCTGTATTTCCCATTCAGCTTCCTTGAAAACAAAGTATCCGCTAACAAGAAAAAGAGGAAAAATAAAGGTAATACAGATATTAATTTTCTTAAATTATTGCCTTTTGGGAATTCACATATTCCAATTTATCAGGTGTTGGCAAAAATAAAGATGCTTTCTGATACATATGGCTTCTAGGCAAAAGTACTGAATAAAAATGTTGTTTCACCTGAAATAGGTCAGGCACTATCATTCTCAGTTTGTGTAAGCAAATGTAATTAAATGACCTGTCCAAAATCACAAAGTAAGACATGAAGCTAGGATTAAAACTCACAGATTTCTGTACTCTCTGGCTAGTGCTCTTTAAAATCCTAAAGCATTTTATGTGTCATTTCCTTAAAAACTGTCTATGAAATAATTTTTCTTAAAAAGGGACTTCAAACTGGAAACTGGTGTGCTTTTCATCAACGAGTAACACTTGAATACTCTAAATCTGACATGCAGAATAATAGTTAAAAATATCTTGTAACAAGAGAAGACAAAGGAATTCGTCATTTGCATTACCAAAAAGTAATTAAACTAGGAATTTTGCAAAACACCTGTATAATGATTCCTTCTCTGGAATCCATTAGTTCTCCCTTTCAACTTACTCATTCTAACCATCATTCAAGATTTGATTGAAGTTTATCTTCTGTCCAAAAGCTTGATACATTGACTCCAGTCCAAAATGTCCTCTTCCATCTAAACTACTACTGTACTTATTTTCTATGCTGATAACTTATGGACAAAGAAGGTGCTCAACAAATATATGTTGACTGATCTGCAGGTACTTTATTAACCTATAGATGGTCTTCTAATACAGGCTTTTATTTTCCCTAACAGTGACTGCCATCTACAATAGGTAATTAGCACTAGAGTTTCTCAACTGAATTTAGCTCTGAAGAAAATTAAATATATATACAAAATACAACTTAACCCAGGCACAGGGCCCAGTATTTATGCCCTAAAGCTGATAAAACACAAATATCTTGGGTATATTATAAAGAATCTCATATTGCTTTATTATTCACATCCAATAAATGTTTGGCTCACACTGTATTTCACAGCCACTCTGCAACCCCCTCCAAAAGAAATCTTTGGGCCTGGTGAGGAGATATGTAGCCTTTATATGTTCCTAAGCAATAATATTTCAAAGAATTACACTACACTTATATGTAACACTAGGAACATATAAAGGCTACATATCTCCTCACCAGACCCAAAGATTTCTGTATTACAGCGATTTCTTTATTACAAAAGCTTTTTTATTACAGCAATAATTTTATATTCCAATACAGTATTTTTTCTTGCTGTTAGCACGTTAGTTCTATGCAACAATCTATCCCAACACTTGGGAATGTCTAAGACAAGGTTTGACAGTTGTGAATCAGCATTTTTAGGCTTAAGTTGGTTGTGTTAACAATTTAACGGAGACTCAATCAGTTTCCATTACAGCTTAGCCCCTGACACATTTTCTTCATGCCCAGGAATGGCCTGGTAAAAGACATCCTACAATGCTTTGGCTCTAAACATACTTAATGCAAGAATGACACAAAAACCAGACGTCAATTGTCCTGCCAAATGAAAACTAAAATTATCTTATCCAAACACCAAGGATCACTCACATCTCAGACTCACCTGTTTTAAGAAAATAAGTGATGACATGTCACATAAACATTGACCCTATTACCAAGATGTACTTTAATTCCCTCTAACCAAAATTTCCAAACTGTCAAATTTTAGGAAACGATTTAACATTGTTCAGGTGCGAAAATATGATTGTTGGAAATAATATATCAAGACTCGTTTCTCAATGATGATTAAGCATTAATATATAGGTCAGAATTTTTAAGATAAATTTGTTATAAAGACAGTCTACACATCAGAGATGATAAAGTATTTTATAAACAAAAACTAATTCCAAGAAACTGTTACTGCTTCTTAAACACAGGTTTTACTGAATCTTAGACCTAAAATGGGATTAAACTTACTTCATTTTGGAAGTCAACTGAAAAAAAAAAAGAATAATCTTTTCAAAGACACTTTACAGTGAAATTTTCAAGCAAAATTTTCCAGAATCATATTAGGTGAAACATATTTATAATTAAAACCATATTCCAAGCTACCCTTTGTAATGCTTAGTTACCAATTAACTATTGGCTATCTATACTATGACTATATTCTACAGGAAAAGGTACTTATAAAGAGTCCTGGCTCTCAAACAATTTACAAACTTGTGTAACAGCACTAAAAGATATGACATACAGAAAGAACATATGTAGATTTCCAGGTAATAAGGTGGTGGTTCAAACTTTCTAACTATAGGATTTAAAGAAGAAAATATAAGTATAGTTCAGTAGTTATACAAATGAAGAAGTTGAATTTGAGGAAGGCTTGACCATATCAAATAGGTAGATAACTTGTATAAAGATAGAGAGAAGGATGAGCTAGGACTCACATTCGATGAACTCACATTCTCTTTTATAACATCATTTGCAAAATGTCTATGTCTCCTACCAGATCTTAAGTACCTTAAGGACAAAAATTCTCTTATATTTCTCAAACCTGAGTATAGAGCATTTTAAATTAAAAAAGTATATAAATGAATCTTAATATATACAAGATGGCTCAATTTAATCTATACTTTCATGGCAGAATGGCAAATGGCAATTATTCATTTTCTAAAGAATATTGAATTTTTGAGTAAAAAGGAAATGTCTCTTGGATTACCGGAATTCCTTAAATTTTATTAACTAGAACATCAATTTTTTAAATGAGCATGGTTAAACAGATAACAGCACACAAAGGAATAAATTCTTTATATGGTATTATAATTTAACCTTAAATCAAGAGGCATATGATTTTCGTTTAAAAGTGCATTTATTTTCGTAAGTATAGTAACAGAAAATATTCTTAGATATAGCTTACCAAAGCAAATCTCTTATTTTTTCACTAGGCAAATTATTTTTTATCCTCCAGCATCAGTCCAACTGCAACCTCTTCTACGAAGATTTCAAAAGCATCCCAATTGGTTGCACTACAACATCACTCCTCCATTCAAAACTGCAATGCTCTTCATTTCATTCAGAGCAAACACCAACTTCTGATACATCAGCCTAAGATGTCCCTGCATAAACTTGTCTCCCATTATCTCTGACCCTACCTGCTACTTCTCCCCTTGACCAGTTCCAGACACTCCAATCTCCTACTCTTCCAACACACCGGGCATGATCCAAACTTAAGGTCTTGGCACTGGCTGTTCCCTCTCATGAAGTCTTTCTCCACATACGGCTAATTCCCTTATCCCTTTGAAGTCTTTTCTCAGATGGCTGCCACCTTCTGAATGAGGCCTAACCTAATCAGCCCACTGAAAATTGCAACCCAGCCCCTGCCATCACCTGTAACTAGTGATCCCCTTTTATTCAGCTTTATATTTGTTCTTCATTTATCACTTATTACCAGACATATTTAATTATTTATTACATTCATTGCTTATTTCCTACCTCTTCCCACTACAACATAACAAACTTCACATGGGCAGGATTTTATTTTGTTCTTTGATTAGCCTAAGAGCTGACAATCAAGGCTGGCAATTAGTAGATGACTGACACAGGTTGGTGAATTAACAAATACATTACATAATAAAAATAATTAGGTTTGATGGGGTGCAGTGGCTCACATATGTAATCCCAGCACTTTGGGAGACTAAGCCAGGCAAATAACTTAACCTCAGGAGTTCAAGATCAGCCTGGACTACACTGTGAAACCCCATCTCTACTAAAAATAGAAAAATGAGCCAGCATGGTGGTGGGCTCCTGTAATTCCAGCTACTTTGGGAGGCTGATGTAGGAGAATAGCTTGAACCTGGGAGGTGGAGGTTGCAGTGAGCTGAGATCGCGCCACTGCACTCCAGCCTGGGCAACAGAGCAAGACACTGTCTCAAACAACAATAACAAACTAGGTTTAAGAATTTTTAAAAATGGAAGATTTATTTTATCTCACAGATTAAAAGATTCAAAATACCTCTAAATAGTGCTTCTTTTTAACTGTCCTGCTAAATGAATTTAATTGGGGGATAAGGGGGAATGTACTTACTTTTCTGAATATAGACCATAAATGAAACTAAAAGTCCAGAAATCATGGTTATCCATTTGAATAAAGTCTGAAGTAAAAAAGGAGCAAAATACTAAAAAGTGTCATTTGCAGCAAATCATTCAGAACAGTCTTTGAAATAAAGTATATGTGTTCAAGTCTAACAAACTAATTACTAAACAAAAGGCCCACAACTTCTTAAACATTAGATTTAACTATGTGCATATCCAGCCGTTGGGTTCTCATCCATTACTTCTTTAGGTGCTAGGATAATACATCGAATTCCCCTACAAGTCACCTCTTAGCTCACGCCTACTTATTTTTCAAGAATTTACTTATCCAATCATAATACTAATACATACTCAATTTAGAAAAGAATGTAAATGAAAAAAGAAAAAAAAACATAACGTCACAGCAATCACTTTTAAACTTTTGCAAAGGTTTACCTCATAAACAGATTTTAACAGCTATGTTGCATTCCTTAACAAAATAAGAGGTTTTAAGTCTGACAGACCTGTGTCCAAATTAAGACACTATGGAGACTTTAAGCAAGTTACAATTTCTAAACTTCAACTTCTCCAGTTACATTATTAAAGAAACATTTCCATTTACCACAATATACCTGGCTTTCATATTATGCTGTTGTTTGACATCTCACAATGTCACAAATTTTACATAGTCAATTCTTTTAATATTTTCCACTGATTTAATATGAAGTCCTCCTACTCAGTCAGTACAATAAACATCT